AAACTCTGGATGTTTCCTAAGCTGTTTTTGTTTGAGGGTAGCTATCCAATCATTGATCTTTGTGGGGGGATTGGAGGCTGAGTTTACTTGTGCCACCATGTTGGTCTTCCTTGGCATTTCTTGTTCCAGTCCAACTGGAAGCTCTCTAAGTCTGTTTTTTGTGAAGTAGAATTTCACCCACCACATTTACCTGTACACATGTTAGCATTTGTTCAAATTTTATACCAAGATATAGCTGGATTTAATATTCAAAATTGTGCTGCATGAATGTAAACATTTTAGAAGAGTAATTTCTAACTGGAAACTTGACAAACAGGCCTTTGTAACTAAATTAGATAATAATTATTACTTTTTTCCTCTGGTTAAGGTTGGTTATATAGTCTAGGGTGCAGAAGGTTGTTATTTTGAAATGAATTATAGATTGTGAAAATATTTCTACCCCTTTAACCAGAATGAAGTATTTATTGTCACCTATACCAGTAGCAAATAATAAAGCCTTAGGAAGACATACATATATATCATGCTTTAACGACATTGAAAAGTTATTATAAGATTATCCATTTGAAATTCCTTTATTTATAAATACAAGGTAATCAGTCAACCACATTAAAATTAAAAGTGTTTTACTACTTCGTTTTTTTATTCAGTAAACACATAAGAACACTCATTTATGTTCACTTAAAATCACTTCTCAATTGACAACCATAAAATTGTAACTTTCTCTAACAGGCAAAGAATTTGATATCCACATCTCAAAAATGACGACTGTTATATGTCTTATTCATCTGACTGGTGGGTCAAATGGGTCCTATCTGGTATCTTGAAAAAGATAGCTTTTTGCTTTATGATAAATGGCAGCCTCAAAGCAAAAAAAATCTGTCAATAAACTTCTAGCATTAGCTAATTTTTCTAAATGTACACTTTTTGTTTGGATTCTAACAATGCATAAAAATTTTACATACTTTAAAAGTGCAATAACTAGAAATAGTAGGTACTTAGATAAGAGAAAAGATGATAGATGACTTATAGATAGATAGGTGATGGATAGTTAGATGATAGACAGATGACAGGTGATGAAAGCTAAATATTTTTAAGGAATTATCTTCCCCAATAGGCACTGACTTGGGGAAACTTAGGGAAAGATTCCAGATGATTGAGGACTGACATAGGCATTATTCATGAGAGAACCACATATTTCAGAAAGAAGGGAAAATAAAGACTGCTGCTATGATTTCAAAATCACCATAGCATTCAATATAATATAATAACACCATGAATACAGTACTTTCTCTGAATAAGATTGAGTTTATCTCATTAGTGTTATTAACAATCCACATTTTGTAGACACATTAAATGAAGTTCATTGAAGTTGGGTCCTTCTTCCAATGTCACACAGAAACAGCACATTATGATAGGATTTTGACGCATTTTTTTTTTAACTCCAAAGCCTGGGAGTTCTTTCCACTGTTTTATGATGCAAGATTCACAAGGGAATCAAATCCTGGAGAGTTGAAAGGTAGGGATAAAAATCAGTGTAAGAGCAGAAAGAATATAGATGCAGCGTGAGCAATTTGGAAGTATGAAAAGCAGACGGATGTCCTGAAATCATCTAGAAAGTTCAGAATTTGATGTCTTTAAAAAGACAGATGTGAGTACATGAGCTTGATTATAGGTTCAGGCCTGGGTTGGATAATAATTACAGTAAAACAAAAACTTGTTTTAGATGGTTCTCTAAGTAGTTGAGCACCAGGAAGAGAAGGTGGCATTTATATCTGCATTTCCACCTTTAGTTATGTTATGCTTCTCCCTTTCTTAGTTATGTTATGTCAGAGGGAATATAAAGCTATGGATCATATGCTTTAGCTAAAATAACTATTATAGAAATTGTCTTTTCCTGAAACATAATTTAATTAATCACATTGTATTTTCTCAATATTGTTTTTCTTTTTTAAACAGAGGAGAAAAATGTATTTTTCTCTCTACCTGTTTGAGTTCTTAGCTGAAACCCTCTGTTAAAAAGCACAGTTTAACAAGAAAAAATTGAACAAAAGTTTATTAACATGTATACCTCAAGTACACATGGGAGATATCCAGGAAAACGGAATAACTCCCTAGAAGTCCAGGCCACCATCTTAAATGTCATCTTCAGCTAAGACAAAGGACAGATGCTGGGACAGGAGGGAGTGGCAGTTGTGAGAGATTACCAGGGAAAGCATGGTAAATGGGATAGAGTTTGTTATGCAGATTTAAGTCACCTTCTCTGTTGATAAGATTCTCTTATGATTTAGTCATCTTTTTCCTTCTGGCACAGAGAGAGAGAGAGACCCTTACATGCAGGAATTTTCTTTATGAATGTAAGGCTCCTTGCAAAGGATGTCCTCTATTGTTTTTAGAGCTTTTATATCTGCAATTTGTCAAAATAATCCTTATCCAGAAAAGCACATTCTGGGGCTGCATATTCTGCTACTCTTCACTTTCTTCCCATTTCTCAAAAACATCGAAGGCCATATCTAAACCAGATTCTAAAAAATCTTCCTGCCTAACATTTTAAACTCTCAGTTTTTCTCCAGCATTAATTTTTATTGTTGTCTTTAAATCAACTTTATAACTGTCACTTACCATTCAGCTTCTCAACTCAGAAAGTTGAAAGAGGCCCCAGGCTCATCCTATTAGGGTTAAGCTACAATGCTCTCCTAAGTCATTTTTGAAAATATATCTTAGTTTCACATGTTTTCCTGCTAAAGGTGCCTCAATTTACAGAGCTAAGGTTTCTAGCAGATCTCATTTTCAAGCTGAACTATCCTGTGTGTTCTGGTTGTCTCTGGTCTTTTAGCAGCTGGTCATTAGTCTCAGTTTTGATAAAGAAAAACTAGTCTTTGAATATGACTCTTACACATGTTTTAAACTTGGCAGTGCCTAAGTTACAATGTCTTATGCTATGTCATCTATCTTTGAATGTTTAAGTATTTCTTTGTAGCGCTAATATCAATTTAAATTTAACTTGCTTTAAATAATGCTCAAAAATTGGAGTTGTACTTTTGCATAACATGATTTTTTTTCATTTTGAAATTAAATTTTAAAATTATTATTGATTGCATATTGTGTAGAAGACACAGCATAAAATCCTATTCAAATCCTGAATGACTCTTCTAATCTCTTTGAACACACTGGTTTTTATCTTTTCTCAATTCCCACAGACTGCTTTTCACATAAAATCCTATTCTCTATGTTTTATGGTTCAAAATTATAGCTATAACTATGCTAAGAAAATCTGGCATTGTTAACATAAACATACGCTTTTATCAGAAACAGAAAATGTATGTTTTGGTTCCTTAGTAACATAAAGGGTTGTCAAATGTGGGGAAAAAAAAGCACATTTCCAAAATGTATAATATGATTTCTGATTTATTTAAAAATGAAATTGCCAGTTTGGCTCAGTGATCAGAGCATGGGCCCCACAGACTGAAGGGTCCCAGGTTTGATTCCTGTCAAGGACACTTCCTGGATTCCAGGCTTGATCCTTGACCCCGGTTAGGGCTCCTGCCAGGCGGCAACCAATCAATGTGTCTCTCACATTGATGTTTTTTCTCTCTCTGACTCTCCCCCTCCCTTCCACTCTCTCTAACAATCAATGGGGGAAAAATATATCCTTGGGTGAGGATTAACAAAACAAAACAAAACAAAACAAAACAAAACAAAACAACAAAACAAAAAAGAAATTGCAAAAAACAAAAAGCTAAGTCATAATGTATTTAGTACTTAAAATAAGAAAACTGTTCCCCAGTAGCTTCTTTTAGAACTCGTAACCACATTTGTCTAAATTTTCACACCCTGAATCTTCAGTACACAGCACAAGTGGACTATTAGAGAGCTAACTATCAACTTACCTCATCCCAAAGATTTGGCTCTCATCTTAAAAGCTGCAATAAATTCTCACATTTCCACACACAGCTTATCATCAGTTTGCTGAATCAGCATTCTGGGCTATGCCAACTATATTTCCAGAAATATGCATTTCCAATGCAGTATTTCCAGATATGCTGAATCAGCATGCTGAAGGACAGGCAACACAGAGACGCTCTAACCATTGTGTCTGAGCCCGAGTCTATCAGCAGAGATGAGTATTCAGCCTGTAAACAAAACATGCAGGTAGCAAGAATCTTTTAACCTAATACTGGTTGCATGTACGTAAGTATTGCATTTGTAGTTTTTTGTTTTGTTTGTTTGTTCTTTTTATTAAAGAAATTCTTATTACCTGTCTATAAAAGACAGGCAAAGATAGGCTATAGAACCACAAAGTGGTTTTCATAATTCTCCAAATTTGATGCATTAATGTGATTATAAGACTTCACAAAGTGATCTATGATATTTGGTCCTATTTAACTCAACTTATATCTGTTATGCTACCATATCATTAAAATATATTTGTTTGATTTGTCATGTCAACTCCAGAAATACAAGGCTATTGATTGGTAAGGCAACCACTTATAGGAACTCAAAGAGCTGATGATCATTCATGCTTATCTAGACTTATGGTTATAAAGAAATTAATATTTAGATGGTTATAGCTAACAGTTTTGGAGTTGTTTGTGAGCTGTATCGATTCCTGGCTGTGTCACTATAAAATAGCAAGTTGAAAGGCTTGATCATCAGATGTCCATCTTATCCTGGTTCAATCCCCATCACTAAAATATAAACACAAAAACACATTTACTGCCCTAACTGGTTTGGCTCAGTGGATAGAGCATCGGCCTGTGGACTGAAAGGTCCTAGGTTCGATTCCGGTCAAGGGCATGTACCTTGGTTGCAGGCAAATCCACAGTTGGGGGTGTGCAGAAGGCAGCTGATCGATGTTTCTCTCTCATCGATGTTTCTAACTCTCTATCCCTCTTCCTTCCTCTCTGTAAAAAATCAATAAAATATATTAAAAATATTTAAAAACACATTTACTAATTCATAATGGCTCAAAGAGTTTGCATTAGTATGTTGTTTCCATTACAGAATCTCTTCAAAATTTCCAATTAATTATGTTTGAAGATCTTCAAGAATCTTCAAAACAAGCATATGGTATACAATTTTTAAATTTTCTGGGCCAATGAAAGAATCTTATATTGATTTAAATAAGATCATACATTAAATGAGAAAACAAAATCTTACTTATTTGGTGCTGGTTAGAAGATAGCTTGATTTATTAAAGACCTAAATAATTTGTACTTATATATTAATTTTACATAATTAATTCTATACCTCAACAAAATAATTTATCCATCTAATGGAATTTTATAATCATTCACAAAGATATGGAGATGTAAGTCCCATAAATGCAAAGGGTCTATTAAAGTCACACCAATCCATTGGTTATTTTACTAAATATTCAAGCTCTATTTGTTAGATATTAATATTTATATCAAGTCTATTTGACTCTGCTGTTCACGCTAGTTCCATTCCTCAGATGAATAGAAAATGATTTCTCAGAGATAATTTTAGCAATTATCCTCCTTCTACATGTATTTATAATTTATTAAAGCACCCCCATTCCATTCCAACCTCACCTTATTTGATGGTGTTGGGTCCTTCCATATAGATTTCTTGCTAAAGAAGGCGATGAACTAAACAGCAGTTACAGAAACACTGCCATGGTGAAGGTCAGTATATTTAAGCATATCTAAATCTGTATCCAAAGAATTTCACGGTATTTAAATAAATCTGTGATTTTCAGTCTTCTTTTAACAGTTTATCAAATCAAATCTTATGAATGCCAACATATTAAGTAGATAAAACTGCAATAATGAAAGACTGAAGGGGAGGAAGAGGCCTGTATGCTTGATGTTCCTGGCCACTAATCACCTGGGTCTTGAAGCACTTGTACCAAGTCCTGGGCTAACTCAGCACAGTAATTGTGAGACACTAAAATAGAGAATCCCTGAAGTCTCTTTTAGTTCCAGCACTTTAATTGCAATTATTAGACTTTTTTTGTAATTTCTGTATCTAATTTAAATTGTATATTAAATTTTTATTGTTTAAAATGTGGCTAAAATACATTTAGCATAAAACATCATGACATTTTTGCTTCCTCTTTAGACTTGAAGATACTTTTCTGTTTTCTTCTTTTTATTTTATTTGTTTCATCACCATTTATTCCCTCTATACCCTCTTCCACCTCCATCTACCCCTCCCCACCATAGTCAGCACTGTTGTTCATGTCCATGAGTTCTTTTTTTTTCTTCTTTGCTCAATCCCTATACCTCCCCAACAAACCCATCCCACCCTCACTCCCCCTCCACACACACCAGAGCTGTCTGCCTGCTCTCTATCTATGAGTCTGTCTCTATTTTGCTAGGTAGTTTAGTTTGTTCATTAAATTCCACATATGAACGAAATCATATGGTACTTGTTTTTCTCTAACTGGTTTATTCCACTTAGCATAATGTTCTCCAAGTCCATCCATGCAGTTGCAAAGGGTTACATTTTCTTCCCTTTTATGGCCAAGGAGTATTCCATTATAAAAAAGTACCAAAGCTATTTTATCCACCCATGGGCACTTGGGCTGCTTCCAAATCTTGGCTATTTTAAACAATGCTGCAGTGAACATAGGGGTACATATAGTCTTTTAAATTAGTGTTTTGGATTCCTTAGGATACATTCCCAGAAGTGGAGTTGCTAGATCATGAGGCAGTTCCATTTTAAATTATTTGAGGAAACTCCGGACTGTTTTCCACAGTGGCTGCACTAATCTACGTCCCAACCAACAGTGCACGAGGGTTCCCTTTTCTCCACATCTTCGCTAGCACTTGTTGGTGTGAGGTTTTCTTTTATAAGGTAGTTTTTTTTTTCTTTTTTTAAACTTTTTAGATTTAGGCCTATGCTTCATCCCAATTAACAGTTCTAGGTCTTTATCTTTATTGAACAAAATAAAAGTGAAGAAATGGTTTCCTAAGCACCAGTACAATAAGTGAAGGGAACACAGTAATATTATTTGAATCTGCTTCTTTTTTTAAAAAAAAATTATTACCTGTGTTTTCTTAACATTAAAGAGAGAGAGAGAAAAAAAGAAGAAGCTCTAAAACAAAAACACTTTTACTGTGTACGTTTAACTGATACAAATTTGACTTGGTCTACTACTTCGTAATTAATGAAAAAATGAGAAACCCTACATAATGCACTAAGGCAAGAATTATAGTCTTTTTCTGTAAAGGGTCAGATAGATGCCTTTCAGGCCATAAGGTCTCTATAGCCACTACCCAGCCCTGCCATTGTAGCACAAAAGCAGCCATAGACAGCACATAAATGAATAGGCAATATTCTGCTGCAATACAATTAAAAAAGAAAGTGATCATTGGGTTTGGACAGTGGGCCGTGGCTACATTTGGCAATTTTTGCTCTAAGCGAAAAGAAAAGCAGCTACCATTTTTGTGTGCATCTACTATACAACAGGTGCTGCATTCCAGAATATAAAATTAATGTGAATATTTAAACATTAAAAAAAACTTTTTTCATTTCTGACAGTCAATCCTTTGGCTAGCTGTCATATCAATGAGACTGGTAGCTGATGTGTGATTTGAAATGTTACAAGTTTGAAGGGGGCAGTTCTGAAGGAGGTCCTGAGCATCACAGCACAGCACCCACAACTGGAAAAGTACAGAGCAAGCCTGTCCTTAATGGAGTCAACAAAGAAGAACTTCAAGAAATGGAATACAGGACAAATGCAATCTGGAAAAAGAAACATTCTGAATTGCTAAATTTTTATTTAAAAGTTGAAATATGACTTCAACCACTTTTTCTACTTATAGTAATAGAATTTCAGCTTACTACCAGCCCTGCCTTATTTACCCATAGTAATACTTATTGGTAGTTTACCCATTGGTAGTTTACCCATAGTATACTTATTGGTAGTTTTTAAAAGCCTTATCAGCAAATGCTCTAACTTTTATGTTTATGGAAGGAATACTTGTAGTTGAATTCAGAAACTTTGCTTTATAAATCCAGTTTTTGCAAAGCTTCCTGTTCAAGTCTTATTCTTTCTGTTTTTGCATTCCTGCCCTGTATAATGAAACACCATGCACCTTGCAGTGCCATCAAATGACATATAAAGTATTTTCAATCCTTCAGAGGAAAAGTTAAATGATTTCACATATCTGAAATAACAGCACTTTGTATCATAAATTGTCCAAAGCAATGACATTTTTTGGTAACAGTCTAGTTTATGCCCAATCTCATTTAAAGAAAAGTGGATATTTATAACATAGTGTGAAAAATACAGCCTGAACATTAGTTTAGCATCATAGATCTGTGTAATCTCTAGAAATTTAATCTGAAGAACGTCAAAAGCCATGGGGATATAATTTTAAAGATTTTAAACTTTAAAACCAGGAAAAAGTGAAAACAAACAATATCCTATAAAATCTAAAAGTGAGGCAAACAAACCCGTGAGTGGATGATCAGCGAAAGGGCACCAAATGCTTGAGAATTCTGAAGTACGCTGGGCCTGAAGCATTGCTGTGTCTATGTGTCTTTCTTTTCTCAGTAGAGGAGCAGAAGACACTTGAATATAAAATTCCTAACTTGAAAACAATCACGTTTAGTAAAAATAGAAAGGTAACACCTCACCACACTGCCTAAAATATTAAACCTCCATTTCTCTCTGCCATTCTTTCACCTGCACACTCCATACTTTCCTTATCCCTTTTTTGTTTTGTCCATAGCAATTTGTAATTTTATCATATACTTATAGGTTTATGTTTGGTTTTCTAGCTGCTTTTACTAAAATGTATGTTCCATGGGCATTGCTTTTTCTAGTTTTGGATATTACTGATTTCCGTCTTTATGTTCCCAGCACAAATGTGTGAGAGACTGAGCTCTGACGATGTAATTTATAAAAACTCTTCATTCTTACACTCTAGGGGGAGGCTTCCCAGCTTCAGCACTGTCCACATCCGGGGCTGCTGGCCTGTACTTGCAGGATGTATAGCAGCACCCCTGGCCTCTACCCACCAGATGCCAGCCCACGCACTCTCGGCGGTGACCACCAAAAAATGTCTCCAGAGGTTGCCAACTGTGCCCTCTATAGCAAACAGGGCTATAGAGGATTTAGTCAAAACAATTTAGTTGACAATGATTAAGAACTTCTCTATACCTGAATTCTGAAGCAGTTAAGAGCAAAAACAGGATCAGAGGAAAGATCACACAGAGACAAATACACTCACATCCACAGGTAAGTGGGCTTGCTGCTCCTCGATCCAAGATTAAGCAGGTTTAAATGCTCTGACACAAGTAGTCCTGGAAGCACAGACCTCCATCCCAGGGGCCAACCCGCCCTGCCCTGAGTTTGCTGAGATTGCGTGGCCCCCGGAGTAGATGAGAACACACCTTCTCCGCAAGTTGGCAGATACAAAAAAAAATAAAGGCAGATTCTCACAGGCGCGGTCTCTCCAGCCTCAGGAAAGGATAGACTGCAAGATGCAAGGGGCTACTCCATGTGCTGCAGTCTTTCTGTTCCCTTCAGTTCCACTCTCCGCCCCGTTCCAACCCATTCTGTGTCCCCTGTGACTGATGTCTATGGAATGTATCAACTGAGATTTTCTGTTCTCCAGATTTTGGTTGAGTTCACCCAGAGAGAGGCCCCAGCAAGACAGTGGAGGACGGGAAAGGAAACACCATGGCATTTGTTCCTCCAGCTACGTCTCGCTGGCTTGTATTCCTCCACACACGGCCCGTTGGGCAGCCTTCCTCTGTGCCAGGGAGACAGCTCTCTGGGTTCTCCTGGTACGTTCCCTCCAATTGGACCTTCAGACCATGAGTTAGTGTAGTTTCCTTGTTGTTGTTAGTGCTGGGGTGTTTTGATAACTTTTTTTTTTTTTTTTTTTTTTTTTTTTTTTGAGAGAGAGAGAGAGGAACATTGATGTGAGGAGCAGAAACACCAACCAGTTACCTTCATTACGTGCCCTGACTGGGGATTGAACTCCCAACTTGTATACATGTCCTGACTAGGAATCAAACCCACAACCTTTTGGTGCACTGGATAATGCTCCAACCAACAGAGCCACTGAGCAGCTAGGGCATGTTTTAATATTTTTGTTGTTTTTGCTTTACCACACCAACCCCTCCTTTAAGCTCCATTTACTTGCACCCACCTTTTGTTAAATCTTTAATTTTAAAAGGATTTCAAAAGTACAGGTAATTTTAAAACTTGATATGAGAAATCTTATGATCTTTCATCTAAGTTCACCAATTTATCATCTTACTATATTTGCTTTATCATATTCATACTATATATAAATATATATTTATAAAATTAATTTTTATAAACCATTTCCCATAATACTTTAACGTGTCTTCTTTCTAACAAACATAGTCTCTTACCTAACTATATGAAATTTAGGAAATTTAGCATTGAAACAGTGGTCTATAGTTCATATTAATTTTATTTTTCAATTATTCTAATAATGTCTCTTTATGTTTGAACATCTATATATATAAAGAGGTAATATGCAAATTGTCCAGGATGCTTTAATGTCACAACTGCTCAGGAGGAGGCTGCATGTGCAGGTGGGAGGGAGGGGACTGCATGCATGGTGAGGCAAGCCAAGGATGGCACTGGCCCGGAGAGAAGTGGGCCTGCCAGCCGCAGCGCACCGGCAGTCCCGCCTCTATGTGTGAGCTGCAGAGGAAACACCTTTTCTGACCGCTCATTGGCTAAGCTCCCGGTATGCCACTCACAGCGTTCTTGGTAACTTGGGTAATAAGAATCCAAGAAGGTGATCTAAGGTTTTTCCACCTCACTCCTGGAGGAAAAAACAAAGGTCTGCTGTTGGAGGGGCAAGGAAATGTCATATCCTGCCCTAGCCAGTTTGGCTCAGTGGATAGAGCCTTGGCCTGTGGACCACAGGGTCCAAGTTTGATTCTGGTCAAGGGAATGTATCTAGGTTGCAGGATCCTCCCTGGCCAGGGCCCAGGTCAGGGCTCATGCAGGGGGCAACCAATCAAAATGTCCTTCTCACATTGATGTTTCTCTCTGTCTTTCCCTCTCTCTTCTACACTCTCTAAAAATCAATGGACAAATATCCTCAGAGGAGGAAAGAAAGAAAGAAAGAAAGAAAGAAAGAAAGAAAGAAAGAAAGAAAGAAAGGCCATATCCTATGAAAGAGACATCTTGAAAATGCCTAAAGAACGTTGTCATTTTTTTGTGATGAAGGGACTGGAGTTGGCGTTGATGAAAACACCTTGGCAGCTGCGGCAGCTGGCAGTGGCAGCAGTAGTGGGGTGATGAGGATGGTGCCTTCCCCTGATCAGCCGGTTGCCTCTGCAGAGGGAGACCAGACTGCGGCATAGGCCTGCTCTCCACAAGGACAGTAGGACATCCCCTGAGGGCTCCCAGACTGTGAGAGGGGGCAGGCTGGGCTGAGGGGACCCCCCCCACTCCCACCTAGTGCTCAGATTTTTATGCACCGGGTCTCTAGTTTTTATAATAAGACTGTGGGGGAAATAGCACAGGTTCGAAAGTGGAAGGCTAAAAGTCTGGAACATATTTTATTTTGGTTTGTAATGGTAGAAAGTTCATTTATATCATTGTAGTTGAGTAACTCACCTCTATTGTGAAAGGTTAGCAAAAAGAAAAAGAAAAAAAGGACTTAGCTAAAAGGTCTCTAGGCCAGATTCCCAGCTGCCCAAATGTGTTTTTCAGAGGGAGCTGCTTCTGCTCAGACCCCTCTGAGGCACACATCCCTGACTGGGGCAGGGGTGTTCTTGGCAGCAGTTGTTTTACTCTAGGACCGGCTCTATTGCAGAATAACGTATTGGATTTATTGTTATGTCTCAGACCCACTTGTGAATGTGCTGTTTGCTCATGGGACCATGGATAATATATTCATATAAAAGCGAGGAATAAATGTCCCCAGAAGTCCTGACGTTATTCACATTTTCTTTTGAGCTGCACACTTAGTGTCTCACAAAAGAGTGTCCGCATTCATTCCGTTTTCATTAAGTTTCTGCTCCATGCAGAACCATGTGTGTCTCAAATGTGATTAGAATGGGCAAGAGGAAGAATGAAAGAAATGGAAAAATAACCCTAAAAGTTCTAAACTTAAAAGGTATGAGGGTTTTCATTTTTCCTCTGAAAACTTAAGAATGAATATAACTTGAATTTAAAAATTCAAAATGTTTTATTGGACAAATACCTGCGCAGACTTCTGCTATTTCAAAAGCCTTGCTTGATGGCAGACATCAAAAACTAATCATGGAACATTTCTCCTGATTCCAATCGTGATCTCAGAAGCTTTCACAATACAATAAACTAAGAAATTATTATCAACTGATCAAAGCAGACATCCAGAATAAAACAATTCTCCCATCTCTGATGTAGATTCGAATAAGCAGTGCATTGTGAAAATCATTTGAAGGCTCCAGGTATGAATGAGGTACAAAACACCAGCCAGATCAGCCTGTACACTGTTCAGAAAGACTCACCCCAAGCATGATTAGACCAGCAACTTCAGAAAATAAGAACAAAAGCCTTTTTTACTCATGTACCAGGCAGCTTTCATCTCTCATGTTTAGGGACAATCTGTCACAAAATTGCTTTTACACTTGGGCACTGAAGCAGGATCTGGAATGGTACATTCATGAGCCTTTAAAGAACATGATAATGACCCAGCCTTACTCACCAGACAGTGGGTAGAAGAGAGTCCCCAAGTAATATGCAAAATGACCCAGTCAAAACAGAGATGTAAATAAAATCAGAACTTTAAGCCATTCAGCTGAAACCAGCAAAAGTCACTAAGAGGAAGCAGAGTCCCTAACAGTAATATCTGAGTCATGGTAAAGAATTTTAACTACCAATAAGTTTAATGTGAAAGCAAATAAAGTTTGTTTGTTTGTTTTTCCCCATTTTCCTATGTAGGCAGATGTCACCAGATCAGAGGCTGATTAACATTCCAGCGCTGACTAATCAACAGAGACAAACTCAAGGGATGGCGGATTTCCCCACGGCGTAGCATGATTCCATAAGGCTTATGTGGGTGAACAGAAGGAGAACGTTTTTATAGGCTTTGCCTCAGGACACTCAAACGAAAATCACATTTCACTGTAGTAATTGCATTTGCAACACAGAAAACAAAAGAAAAGTATGTGACAGGTTGCACATGAAGCAATCTTGCTACCTATAATGTTCTTGTCCTCAAGGTAAATCCAACTAGTCATGCAGATTTCTCACTTCTCACTTGGAAACACACACACACACACACACACACACACACACACACAACCTACTAGTATATATATTTAAAGGCTCTGAATTAAAATAAAAATGACAGAAATAAGAAGGAAAAATTTTTGAAGCAACAGCATTAGTCACATTCCCAGTGAAAAATGCTATAACTCTGATAATAGAATAGTATGTAGGCTATTGAATCAGGGCCTTTCCTCCTCAGTAAAGGAAAGTTTACAGTTGTGAGTACATGAAACAGAGTTTATTCTTGTATTATTATTTATTGTTGTATTATTTTCTATACAAATAACTAAACCCACTTTTCCCCCACCCTGCATAGCAAGATACAAGGCTTACACAAGACTGGCCATGAGTACTAGCAACGTGGGGGAGGGAGGACATCTATATAATTTTAATTTACGATTTAAGCTGCTTAACTCCACCTCCTCTTCCTCCTCTTTGTTCAATTGTTCATTTGGTATATAAATTTCAAAAGTATAATTTGTGTTAGGACTTAGTGGGTCAGTTTGGAATAATGGATTTAGTCGATTGGCTCTAGACTGCTGAGAGCACAGGTTGGCACACTTTTTCTGTAAAGGACCAAACTGTAAACATTTCAGACTTTTCAGGCCTTAAGGTCTCTATTGTAACTACTCAACTCTGTCGGGTCATTTATTTTTGTAAATAAAAAGGTGTGGCTGTGTTCCAACAAATCTTTACTTATAGACACTAAACATTACATTTCACTTAATTTTCTCATATCACAGAGTATTATTCTTCTTTTGATTTTTCTCACTCATTTAAAAATGTAAAAACAATTCTTATCTCATAGCTCAGACAAAAACCAATGGCAGGCCAGATGTGGCTGACAGCTGTAGTGACCATCCTCCATCCTGAGATAAACACGATACCATCACCTGCCACTTGTGTGACCTTAGCCAAGCTACCTAACCTTTCGGATTCCACAACCTATAAAGAGGGTCAATAAAACAATTCACGTTAGCTTGCTCTTGGGTTGTCTTGAGGATTCAAGATGTTAATACACACAAAGTACTAAATATTGCCTTCCATATAGAGAGCAGTAATGCTGCTACTTTTACTGCTAAAGTAACATGGTAACGTATGTTTATGTACTTTATTCTACTTGCCCCTATTAGTAATTTATGAGAAAAATCTCATTATAACTTACTTCAAATTGAACTACATGAGCTTGTATGGAAATTTAAAAAGAATTGATGAAAGATATTTTAATTATTTTGATTAATTTAGGACAGCTTTCATGGAAAAGAGAAGAAAATATGTAAAAGGGCTAGATAGACAAAAGAAAAAAGAGTTAACATTTATAGATATCTAATGTGTCATGATTGGTATTAAGTAACTTTTTGTGTACACACACACACGTATATAATTTATTATCTTTGTCATATACTCTCTCTCTTTTGAAATAAAGATTCAGACAGTAAATAGCTTGACAAATATCACACTGTTAAGATAGTGATTGGCAAATTAACACAAAATGGTGTTTAACTTCAGAGACATAATTCTTTTAGATACTATTAGT